GGAAATAGTTGTTGAATAATGTTATGGTGAAGATTTATGTAACTATTAAAAAGTTTTAAAGCAAAGCTATATGTGTATATTATTATATTAATACTCTTATACAAAGATTTTAGTGAACCTTTCAACTGAGTCGACCATACATTGTTGGTAAATGTCTTCGAACATTCTGATTTTAATGAACTATTGTTAACTTGATTTATTAGATACTTAAACAGTCATAAACAGCTTGCAAAAGTCTATATAATATAAATTCATATTGTTATGATGTCCCTTTAAGAGCCATCTGTCTCAGATTCTTCTTGCGTTATTCATTAACAGCATTAATAATGTTGTATTATTTACCATTGTCATTGTTATTTTTGAATGACTTTAAAATTATCAGAGAGTCAAAACAAAATATGGATTGTTAATTTTACAATATATCTAAACGCTGTTTAATTATTTAAGCTGCAAGCTTATGCAGTGTTAGAATTAATCTTCTTTTAATGTATAACTACCAACTAGTATCTATACATAATACATGACATTATTTACATATAATTATTTATGTACAATTTTTCAGCGATTTAGATTATATTAATGACACTTATCTTAAGCATATCGAAAATTCGATTATTTATTGATGGGTTCCGAATTGAGTATTCTTGTTTATACATCACCAAAACTGCTCTGTATTCATCAATGAGGATCCATTATTTTAGTATTGATAAAAATGTTAATAATTTTAATTATATTTAAATGTTGTAAAAATATAATAAACTATTAGGTTATTTCAAAATAATTCAATTACAGTTAATAGGTTTTTAAGAAAATTTAGATTTTTATAACGTTATGTTATGGCTTTTAAATCTGGATTATATTGACGATTGGTCCGTATTTTTTAAAAACAAATTGGTAAATAAAAATATCAAATAGAATTTAGAAATGATTCAAATAACTAATGAGTAGGTAATCACGTAATAGTTTCTTCTTACGTGTTCATAATTTAGGTACCTAAAATCAATTATTTATTATTTTCGTAAAATCGTGTTTTGTTATGATTTTAGTTAATATTACATTCTTTACTATTATATTTTATTATATTTCTATTGTCTGCACACTCACTGCACTTCCCTTTTCTATTCGATAAATTGAACAATACCAATATATTTTAAATAGCATTTTATATTAATAAAGAAATATATTTTTATACTGCACCATACATTTGTATATTACTTTATTTTATTAACCTTTTGACTATCGTCTATTTTTATCAGATTTATTTTCAATATTTCTTTATTTGCCATTGAATAGCTATATAAACTTTCATTTTATTGAAATTACTTTTTAGTTTTTTCACGTATGTTTTTAAAGTACATTATAATATATTTCTAGTGGGTAAATTATTATTTATTTTATCTCTGAGTTAAGTTATTATAATAAAAACTACAAGTTCATAGATATAGATATTTCTGACAACTTAAATGAATATAATTTATTATTATTTATAATAATAACAATTAATACGCATAAGAGTACTATTTTTTTTTACAAAAATGTGACTGAAGCATTTTCCATAAAATTTAAAGTATCATCTAACAGTTTATTTATTTATTCATTTTTCCAACATGTATTTAGTTATTAAATTGTTTATTTACGAAGTGATCTATTTAACTAAAATATCCATTATAACTTATAAGTCATACAGATGTTTTATGTTAAGTATATTACACTATATACTATAACGTTAAAACTCAATACATTTCTTACAATAATTTATTAAAAAGATGGGGAATTATGTTGTAATGCGCTGTATAGTATGTGCGAGTGGGTCACTATAATAAATGTGTTTAATTTAATAATTTATTATTTCACCGACGAGAAACGATTCTAAGCGGTAACGAACAACTGTCAATATCACTAACTATATTTTATGATGTTATTTTTAGTTTTATTGCTAATTCCTATTAATAAAATGTATTTTACTATTATTATTATTATGGTAGGTAGCCTTAGTTGGTTGATTTATTTTCAGCCAAAAACATTGTATTTACTTTATTGATATTTTATTATTATAATAGTACCTAAAACCTATCTATTTATATCATATTAAATTATTGTTATAAACTTTTAAATTCAATTTCTCAAGATTATAACATCCATAAAACGCTTTAAAAAAGATATTTTAATTATATGTTTTCGAAATTTTTTAATTGTCATAATATATGAGTAACTCATAAGAAACTAAGCGTTAAAATATATACTATAGCAGTGAATGGTGATGCCCTCGTAATGAATAACTGTTCAGTTGTTGTGATAAATCATAAATGTATTATATTTATTCTTAGAAAGGTGTTAAATAAAAGAAACCGGAAAGCTGTTAGAAATTATCAATGACAATATACGTGCAACAGTGGTCAAGTTATACTTCAAGTTTCAAAATATTTTAATATGATACAAAAAATACCATATATCATATAATATTATACATCAGTACAGGACTTGGTTCACTCGCATATCGGTCACGAATAAAATTGTAATTATTTGTTTTAATAAATATTACTTGATAATTATTTATCTAAATTATACTAATTGAAGCTCAACAATTAAAATATACAAAATACCAGAAATAATATTATAATAATATAAATTATAATTTATGCTAAGGACTTATATTACTTTAACTACATAATATAAAACAGTACCTACAGACTACGATTAAATTTTTGCCAATAACTGTAATTAGTAATTTCTATCAAAATTAAAACTAATTATATAGAGTATATACTTTAATGAAATGCGATAAAAATATAAAATGCATAATTGAAAAATTAATTTTTTTTTGTCCTCTCTATATAAAGTAATATTTTAAGAGGTTGTCAGCACAATATTTAAAAACTCCAGGCGTAACATAGAAAAAACGTATTTACGTAAAATCTTATTTTATGATTTACGAATAACCTTAGAATAAGATCAGTAATCACTTATTACAAAAATTATAGAAAGTAATATTTTAGAGTGTTTGTCATATTTATATTAAATGTTATTATTATTTGACTTCATACTATATGACTTTAAAAATAAAACAATATTTTTTATAAATTTAAATGTACATTAAATTGTTTTGTAACAATATTTAGGCAAATTGATTTGTAGTACCCTTAAAAATATTTTTCTCTACTGCTTTTACAATGAGTGATTTTATTCTAAGATAACTCAAAAATATTAAAAAATTGTTTTGAATAAATTTATTTAGTGTGTGTTATGCGTGGGCTATTTCTGAAATAGAAAAAAGCGCTTTAACATTCTCTTATAAGAATAGGATACGTAAGACCTAATGATCCATAAAGGCATATCTATAAATGTGGAAATGGAAATCTTTGTTGGGCATATTCTCTGAAACTACTTATCCGATTGTGTTGTTTTATTTTTATAATTTTATTAATCGCGGAGACAGCTGCCTATGTTAACATACTGGAAATATGGTCTGTACGCCAAATAAGAAAACCAAAAATATTATGTATTTATACGCGTTACGCTAAATGTTAGTATTAGGCAACCGAATTTAACACGGAAGTATTTTGTACGGGCAACGGAGTGTACCTATGAGGATGACTATAGTGTTATATGTATACCTATATAATTCAAATACTACTCATCAACGCCCAGACCAAACCACTGGACTAAGAAACTTGAAATTTGGAATAGTGGTTCGGGATTTCTCTAATGCTCTGGATGCGAAATAAAAAAATGATATTAATGATAGGTACTTGGTAAAAACGACCAAACGCATCTAACATGTTTTGACGAAGTTTAAAAAGCTGAGGATTTATGATTAGCCGGTAGGAGGTACCTATTATTTATGTACAGTGACGAAGTGGTGTATCGTTTGTTGTACACTTCAAAGGAATCGTCGTGACATCCTTAAAACGGTTATAACGACTGCGCGCAGACGCGTCGGTTGACCGCCAAGCGCAGCAAAGTTTTCAAACCTAGTACGCCGGGAGTGAAAAAAAAATGTACACGTCTATAGGTACAATTATTATTGGTAGGTACGCTCGTCGTTGTTGGACGCGTCTGTCTCGCGAGTCCGTTCTCACCAGCAACACCGACCACTGCGGGAAATATCAAATGTTGTGAATTTTTTTTTTTTTTTGTTTTTTTCCTCAAACGACGTTACGACATTGCCCGCGCCCGCCACGCGTCGCGTAGGTATACTGTTAAGGCCGGGACACACTATTCACACGCCACGTCTTAACACGTCTTAACATGCCACGCGTTAACACGCCGATAATTTCAAATCGCGTGTTAACTCATTTATTTTTAAATATTATTCGATTTTGTGATCATATTTATAACACACAACGCGTTCCCACTCAATTCCACGCCACGCGTTTCAAACAATTTTGAAAAACGTGTGACGTGTGATGGTATCGTATTAATTAAAATACGATCATTTTACTTCAGACATCGGTCGATGCTGTTTGTTTCTCCTATCTTTTTGAAAATGTCTTCATTTGAGGAGTTATTAATTGAAAATGTCCGTGAACATAAATCTTTATACGACATTTTTTCTGTCGACTATAAAGATAATAGCATTCGTAAAGAGGCATGGGAAGAGATTGGTGCAAATTTACAAATGCCAGGTAAGATATTAGGTTTTTAATAATTTATAATAAGGAATACATACTTGCATATTGACATATTATTATACGTGTCATACATTTCTTAAGCAGTTATACATAATACATCATACGAAAAATAAATTTTTAATAGTTATGTTTTTATTTATTGTACATACGACCTACCTGTATAAAGTATAAATAAGTATAAAGAAAAATTTTTAATTAAAACATTTTTTACAAGGTTTAGGTGCATTTTGCTATTTCGGATCGTTGATCAATCATTAATTCTTCCTCTCCGAACCATTTCGTACTGCCATGGTACTGCCCCCACAGATGATGTAAAAAAATCTTTAAATTTGTCACGTATTTCAAATGATCTCTGGGTGCTATTTCCTCTTATTGGTACAATGGTACCATATTTACAAAACCTTGGGTACTTTCATAATTATTTATTTCATCCAATTGGAAATCATGGCTTTGGCATAACATATTATGAAGACAACATGCAGCAAGTACTATGTTGTCTACGGATTTCGGTTGTATTTGAATATTTGTTCGGAATACTCTCCAACGATTTGAAAGTATTCCAAATGCATTTTCCACAACACGTCTTGCACGAGAAAGCCTGTAATTAAAAATTTTATTTCCTTCATTTCCATCTAAAGTTGCCCTGCTATATGGTCTCATAAGATATGACTTCATTGGAAACGCCTCATCTGCAACTATTACGTACGGAATTGGGTCTCCATTTTCTTCAATTGGTGTATCAGGTGGAACATCTAATGTACCGTTTTCTAATGCTTTTCCTAATGCGGATTTAGCTAACGCATGTCCATCAGAGTTTCGACCATAAGAACCCACATCAATAGTTATAAATTTATAGTGAGCATCTACCAAAGCAAGTAATACGATCGAATTACTTCCTTTATAATTAAAATATGCCGATCCACCATTTATGGGACATTGAATATTGATATGTTTACCGTCGAGAGCTCCAATGCAATTGGGAAAGTTCCATAATTCTTTATATTCTCTGCTAATTTTCTGCCAATCTTCTTTGGTAGGTTTCGGCATGTAAATTGGTCTTAATGTTTTCCAGATGACTTCACAGACTTCTTCAACGATTTCTCTGGTTGTGCTAAATCCCAGACGAAAACTAAAAGCTAAAGACCTATAAGATTCCCCGGTAGCCAAAAATCTGCAAATATTTAAATATTTAGAAGTTAAAATAAGAATATTATATAGGTACTTAAAACTTACTATTAAAATAATAGTTAACCTATTTATTATTAATAATTATCATAAGAAATATAAAAAAAGAACAGAAAAAATGTAAAATTACCTAAAAACTAAAAAAAATTACCTTAATAATTTAAAAAAAAATTATGAAAATAAATAAATAAATAAATACATTTATTAATTATTTGAAAAAAAAAAATTATATTATTCAAATTATATATTGAACAATAAAATGTGTTTTCAAGCAGTAATGTATATTAGCATTGAGTATAGATAGTATACTATAGTATCAATACTCAATGATATTATTAGTTAACTATTTACAATAAAATTGTAATATAAAATAATTAATATTAATCTAATTTAATACCTAATATCAATATTAATTATTATTAAGTTATGCAGGTTAGGATAGGTTAAAATAAATTCATAAATCTTTGAACACATAATTTTATATTTTTTATAATAGCTGATAAGTGCAAGTCAGAATGGACAAAATTGCGAAATTGTTTTCTAAATGCTATTAGAAGACGTAGAAGTAAAACAAGTGGTCAAGCAACTAAGAATATTCCACCTTGGAAGTATTCCCAACAAATGGAATTTATATTGCCCTTTTTGGAAAACCGAGAGTAATATATAATATATAATATTATAATTTATAAAAGATATAGACTATATAGAGGGTGTAAAATACTGTATATAGGAATACCTGAAAAATTAAAAAAATTTTGTTCTAATCAATATTTTAAAATTTTTTTTTTCTATATAATTTACAGACGTCTACCTTGTACATATACCTTAGATACCTTTTAGATTCTGAACGAAGTGATGAATGTATTGATTTTACAATGATGTGTGTTTTTTTTTTGTGTGTCTGTGTACAGCATGCATAACTATTTTCCAACAGTTTTCGACTTTTTTGAGAAATTTTATTTTAAAGTGTCGATAAAAAATTTTTGGATGACCAAAAAGTTTTGAAAATTTAATACAAGGTTCCTTATGAGTTGTTTTTATTGTAGCTAAAAAAAAAATAAAAATCGTTAGTCACAATTTTTTTTTTTATAAGCGTTTATAGTTCAAATTTTTACGAAATCTGTTGAAAACGCGAAAATTTGCAAGTAATTTTGAAGTTGAAAAATCATAAAATTTTTTTCTTTTATAACAAAGTTTTGAAAATTTGGTACAAGGTTCTCCATAAATTTTTCTTCAAATATCTGTAAAAAAAACTCTACCGGATTCAGACAAAACATTTTTATAAGTGTTTGAAATTTAAATTTTTACAAAACCGCGTTAAATAACGGTTTAGCCTCAAACGATTTTTGATATTTGTTATTTTTCAAAAAGTATAAGTCGTAGATACTTGAAAATTTTACCAGTTATTTAGATTGGCATTTTCTTTACATGATTTAATTTTCAAAATATTTTGAGATTTTTGAGCTATTTATAGACAATTGAAATTTTCAATTTTTCTGAAAAATTTTTTTTGAAGTGTCGATAAAATTTTTTTGGCCCTATAATAATACTTAAAAAAAAATCGAAAATTAAAGATGTAAGCCAAACTTACGAAAAATCTTATTAAATTTTCAACTCTTAACTATTTGTACAAAATTTTTTATACATTTTAGCTACAAAATTATTAGCAATTTTGACATAGGTAGGTACATAATACAAATATGAACTTTTTGATTTATTTTTAACTACAATAAGAACAACTTATAAGAAATTTCGTATTAAATTTTCAAGTTTTTTTGGGCAATCAAAATTTATCGACACTTCAAAAAAAATATATATATATCATTTTAAATCAATTATTCATCACTTCGTTCAGAATCGAAAATAATGTTAAACAATATTAAAAATAATATTGAATTATAGGTACCTAAGGTATAAATTATATAAATATAGATTGTTGATTGTAACAAAAGTAATTTAATTTATCAGGTCTTCTTGTTATACCCAGTATTAAATATATAAAAAAAGTTAAATATTATCCTTTTTTATTTTATTTAAATTTAATTTTAGAATACACAGTAATTTAGAAACGGGTCCATCTCCGAGTAATACGTTGCGACCAAATTCCGATGTTTTCTCTGATACAACTGGTAATACTTCCTATAACATAAATGTGGAATCGCAGTCTACAGATATATCTAATAATTCAGATCTAGAAAAAAGTTTTGAATCCAGAAAAGAAACGCAAATGAAAAGAAAAAAAATAGATCACGCTGGAGAAATAGTGAATATAATGAGGGAAAATGCAGCCATAAGAAAAGAAAAATACGAAAAAAAGCAATCTTCTGGGCATGATGATGTAGAGCTATTTTACTTAAGTATGGCTAAAATAGCAAAGCGTCTACCAAAGTCAAAAGAAGCTAAACTTCGTATGGAAATATGCAATAAGGTTTCGGAAACAGAGTTGGCCCACCTATTGGAGGTTGAACAAAACATAGCAGTAAACCATCAAACAGCTGAAACAGCCAATCCAGTATTTCATAATACTCATATTCAAAACCAATCAACACATTTACAACCTCAAAATTTAAGTTTGCATCCAGAACACAGTGAAGGTAGTTGGTCTACCTCATCAGCAAATTCAAACGGCCGGACTTATATTTATGAAGGTCAAAACTACTGTCGTCCAATCCTGCACACCAACTTACGTCTTGACCAACAAAATTTTGAATACATTTCAGAAGAAAGTTCTAACCAATACGAATCCCTTAATTAACATAATATTATAAGTACCTATGTCTTCTTTAATTAATAATAATATATTATGCAAACAAAAAAATATTAAATTGTATTAATTACTTACCTTAAGCACACAGCTAATCTCTGTTCAGATGGAACCGGTGTCCGAAATTGTGTATTTTGCTTTTTAATATCGTCCTTTATCAAATTATGTAAATCAGTAAATTGATCATACGACATACGAAAGTATTGATGAAACTTTTCCGGATCATTTATTAACTGTGGAAATAAGTTAACAAATATGCCTTTTTCATCCCTTTCCTTGTTGATTGGGTGAACCCAAAATCGACGGTTCTTATAGGTTTGATCTAACATATATGTTGCTACAACCGTTTCTTCCATTTCTTCTATCCAATCACTGTCAGATGAACTTGACGAAGAATCCATAATGTAGTTACAAAGTTGATCTTACTTCTTTTGATAGAGAAATGGTACTGACTGACAAAAATTAGCGTTCAAAGTGTGTTACCTAAATTGTTTTAGCGCATACTATGGTATTACACGCGTTGTATTAATGTGTACAGAGCCGCCTCACACGTCTTACCACGGCGTGGTATGTAAAGCCATGTTAAGACGTGGCGTGTAAATAGTGTGTCCCGGCCTTTACACGGCGTCATATTTTCATATACGCCGCGTGTGTACGTGCTTTGCTGGAAAGTGCGTCAATCGTGAATCAGCGGGATACAGTGATCTGAAGAGTAACCTAATTAAGTAAGTATGACAAAATATTATCCAAGTGACATATTTATATCATGAACTTCCTATATTACCCATTTGTTAGAATTAAAGCCATAAATCACGCACGCGGCGCGATGGACACACAGTGCGAGGAGGAAAAATAAAATAAAACAATAAAAACGGTCAACAGTGGCGCTGCGTACTCGTCGACACACAAACACGCGCGCGCGCTCGGCCACGGACAAACAATCGTCACACACGCTACGCCGACCCCACCCGCGCGCCGTCATCGACCCGATGCCCGCCGTTCTACTGCCGTAATATCATATTATACCAAATACCACCTATCAACCGTCGCACGCCACGGCGACACTACCGCCACCGTTCGACCTATCGTAAAACCGTAACGGCCGGGGCGCACGACCCCGCTAGCGGACCGCGATCGTGTCGCGTCGTGTCGCGCCGTGACCGCACAACCGCGGCCGCTATGTCGGTCCGATTCGCCGCCGCAGCTGATCGGTCAGATCGAACGCCGCCCCGCCACGCGTGTGTGCGGCGCGTAAGGCCGGGACAACTATTTACACGCCACGTCTTAACATGGTCTTTCATCCACGCGTGGTAAGACGTGAGGCTCTGTACATATACAACGCGTGTAAACCATAGTATGCGCTAAAACAATTTAGGAACACACTTGAACGCTAATTTTTGTCAGTCAATGCCATTTCTCTAAAAGAAGTAAGATCAACTTTGTAACTCATTATGGATTCTTCGTCAAGTTCTGACAGTGATTGGATAGAAGAAATGAAGAAACGGTTGTAGCAACATATGTTAGATCAAACCTATAAGAACCGTCGATTTTGGTTCACCCAATCAACAAGAAAGGGATGAAAAGGCATATTTGTTAACTTATTTCCAGATTAATAAATGATCCGGAAAAGTTTCATCAATACTTTCGTATGTCGTATGATCAATTTACTGATTTACATAATTTGATAAAGGACGATATAAAAGCAAAATACACAATTTCGGACACCGGTTCCATCTGACAGAGATACAGCTGTGTGCAAGGTAAGTAATTAATACAATTTAATATTTTTGTTTGCATAATATATTATTATTAATTAAAGAAGACATAGGTACTTATAATATATGTTAATTAAGGAGTTCGTATTGGTTGAACTTTCTTCTGAAATGTATTCAAAATTTTTTGGTCAAGACGTAGTGGTGTCAGGATTGGACGACAGTAGTTTCGACCTTCATAAATATAAGTCCGGCCGTTTGAATTTGCTGATGAGGTAGACCAACTACCTTCACTGTGTTCTGGATGCAAACTTAAATTTTAGAGCGTTGTAAATGTGTTGATTGGTTTTGAATATGAGTATTATGAAATACTGATTGCTGTTCAGCTGTTTGATGGTTTACTGCTATGTTTGTTCAACCTCAATAGGTGGGCCAACTCTGTTTCCAAACCTATTGCATATTTCCATACAGTTTAGCTTTTTGACTTTGGTAGACGTTTGTATTTTAGCCATACTTAAGTAAAATAGCTCTACATCATCAGCCCAGAAGATTGCTTTTTCTATTTTCTTCTTATGGCTGCATTTTCCTCATTATATCACTATTTCTCCAGCGTGATCTATTTTTCTTTTCATTTGCGTTTCTTTCTGGATTCAAAACTTTTCTAGATCTGAATTATTAGATATATCTGTAGACTGATTCCACATTTATGTTATAGGAAGTATTACCAGTTGTATCAGAGAAACATCGAATTGGTCGAACGTATTACTCGGAGATGGACCTGTTTCTAAATTACTGTGTATTCTAAAATTAAAGCAATACGTAACTA